CATGCTCCTATTCTTACCTTGCATAATCTGAGAATTTTCTCTCAGATTTTTGGTGAAACCTGAAGTTGCTGTGAAAGGAAATTGAGAGGAGATCCTCTCCGTAGCAAAGCCGGCGTTCCCGTTCTACATCAACCTCTCCGTAGCAAAGCCGGCGTTCCCGTTCTACATCAATAGATTTTATTCTTTGCATTTAATTGAGCCATTGCATATGTATGTATGTGTATTGAGTTTGATGTTTGTTTGATTAGGAAAGAAAATTATACTGGTGGGCAAATGGACCAAATAGATCAGAATGTACATAGCAAATAAAGTACAACAATAGTTCCAATGTCTTATGATAGTTTACTACAGCTTGCTAGTACTGTAGCTTAGATAGTAAGTTACACGCAGAGCATGTAATCAAGAATTAGGGACGGTGATGAAGATAGACACGTATATATATTTCATTAATTGAAGCTGCCATTATTTAAGGAAGTTGTAGAGCCCCAAATAATAGAAGAATAGTTGCTGAAAATATTTGATAGTATATAACACCCTGAGAGCAGTAAAGTGCTGCTAATAGTCTTATTGTTTGAAGGAGAAGCATAGAGATGATGGATTGGATAACATATAGAGAAGTTTTAGGGTAGGTTGAACTCACTTATTTCATAGGCAAAATTTGTTGCTATTTTTAGAAACTGGTTTGTACCTCCATCAGTTCGATAACAAATTTAGGAAGCTTTTATGAGATTCGAGCATGAAGAAAAAATATTGATGCAATATGAAGCAAAATTTATTGAATTAGCCAGGTATGCACCTCAATTGATTAGCACAATGGAAGAAAAATACTCTAGATTTTTTAGAGGATTGAATGATGAATTGAAACACCCACTGATATCATTAAGAATTCAGGAGTTTTCAGAGGTGGCTGTAAGAATAAAATTAGTGGAGAATGATTTAGCAATATAACTGTTCTGACAAGATATGAGAAGGAAGAGATCATGAGACAATATGACCAGAAGAGATTGTAGTGAGAGGAGAAGTAAATCTTCAAACAATAGGACAGGATCTGAAATAAGTGTGAAAAATGTGCCGTAGTGTGCCCGATGTGACATGAGACATTGGATAGTATTTTCTAGTGAATGGACAATGCTTCAAATGTGGACAATGAGGACACCAGACGGCTAAATGTCCACAACAAAACATGGAGCGGGATCAGGATTTAGAGCAGAGCAATCGAGGCAGGGCTACAAACAGAGGACTGTTGGATCTAGTAAAGGATCCATGAATAGGACAAATGAAAGTAGAGTTAGTGAAAGTCAAAGAGAACCGACCACACATTCTGTTGCACTAGTACATCCTAGAGTTTACATTGTGATTCAACAAGATGATAGAGATGTACCTAGAATTCTCAATCTTGTGCTTTTAATTTTGAGTGATTACATTGCATAGAATGTTTAATGATATATGATTGATTGAACTCAAGTTTGTTTGGATTAAATGAAGGATAAAGTTAGTGATCAGTTGTTATTTGAATTTTATCGATGGTAGAATTAATATTGTACCGATTTGTTGAATTGATTTAATTTTGTTTAATATTGACTTTGTTTTAGTATTGATCTATTGATATTGACTTTGTTTTAGTAATGATCTATTTATTTAATGAGTTGGTTTAGTTCTTACTTCTTAAGTTTACAACATACACTATATATTTTAAAATATATTTTTTAAATAATTTTTTATGATATAAATAACATTTATTTTTGAATTAATAATGTTAAATAAATTATATACTTCATTATTATTTATGTACTATCAAAATTAATTAATTATTAATAATAAATTATATAACCTTAATTATTTATAAATATAAATTTATAACTTGACTTTAATATATAATTTATAAGTGTAAATTATATCTAAACATATAATATAAAATAATAATAATTTATAATGAATTTATAAAATTATATGAAAGCTTAATTTTTTATTTAATTTGAATTAAATCTAAACATTGAATATGTTTAAATTTAAAATGACATATGATGTTATTAATTTGTGAATTCAATTTATTTTTTAAGAAACAAATTATATTATTACATGATTATTTTGTCATTTAAATTTTATTTAAATAAATTTTATATTTATTATATCATTTGGTTCTACCCTGATTCTACCCCGATCAAACTATTGAAATTGAACCCTTAATCTCTCCTTATGATTCTATGTCTGATCCAATTTTTACAATCTTGATTGTATTCATCTTCTATCCTCATCTAAACAAGTTAACATCCATCCTTATCATTCTCCGCATTTTCAAAAAGATGCTATGAAATAATTAGTTTTTGAAATGCGTCACTCAGGGATTCCTTATCATAATCCTAGCTCTTTCTTTTTCTATTATGATATAGCTTGTTCAAAAATAGGATGGTGTTTGTCATTTTTGCATTAATTCTATAGCCCTTAATATAATTACCATTAAATATAAATTTCCTATTTCAATAGTACATTTATTTTTAGATGAATTATATAGCTTTTTTTTTCAAACTTCATTTGTGTTCTGCCTGTTAGCAAGTTAGGATATATTCTAAAAATGTTCATAAAACTATTCATGATAGTCATTATGAATTTCTCCTTATGCCTTTTTATAGCTTCGTGGTCAAGTTTTGTTGCAATAGAAATTATGTTTTTGGATAATGCCATATAGGAAAATTTAGCATCCCTTTCTTCATCTTTTTCTTCCTCAACCTTGAGGACAAGGTTGTTTTTCATGGCAAAGGTAGTGTTAGACATTAGCATATTATATTAGATCCAAAAATTGTACAGTCTAGATGCAAAGCATGGGCTACAAATATGATGGAATAACCAACAATTATGAAAGCCTACTAAAGAAGAATGAACACATTCCACAAACTCGCAAATGACAGAAATATAGTTTTGGCAACAGAATAAAACACTAGTCTAGCCTTTCTTTTACTTGTTTTAGATAGACCGGTTCTTTAGTGACATATTAGTCTACTTAAGTATTATAAATACCTATTTAGTTGAAAGACTTATTATGAAATGAATAATTTATGATTTTCTCTTTTTTCTCTATTTCTTCTATTTCTCTTGGGAGCTTACACCTACTCGAAAGGTGCCAAAGCTTCTTGGATCATCAAGAAACATAACATATCACAACAAAATTATTAGCTAGGTTTTTCAAATTGCTTCTTGTTGGTCTTGGATTTTCTTGGTGAACACAAAGTTAATAAGTGGTGTGGTACTATTCGACCTTGGTAGAACATGTTTAGATAAGAATATGATTTTAGTTGAAAATCTTGTGTAAAAGAATTTACCAAGACCTCATTTTGCAAAATAGGATTACCAAATGTTTCAGGTTGCTTGAATAGAAAAATGATTAGTGTCAAATTTCCTGCTTTTGAATATTTAGAAAAGTTAGGGATTTTTTATAACCTTAAAAAAACTTCCCTTCGATTTGAATGATTTAAATTTTGGAATAAACTGGTCTTCCAAATAACTATTATCATCATATTATTGTAATCTAAAGTTCAGGTAAGAATTAATGATTCTACCATCTTTCAATGATTCTTTCATGAATGAAATAGTAGAACTATCCTAACCCTAATGATCAGATTTGAAGGGTAGGAGCTCATATTCCTGTATTAAAGCATTTTTCCGTATTAAAGCATTACAGGAAAGAAATTACATGAAATGAATGGGAGAATTAAAAGTACCATTGAACCAGATTGAGATCTAAGATGTTATATTATAATTAAAAAGATGAGGATACTTTTCTATTCCCTTATTCATTATGTGTGATTCTTTTCATATAACAATTAAATGGGGATAATGCATCATGTAATTAGAAGGATAAATTTGATAAATTATTTTATGATTATGACAAATGTAAAAAATTAAATAGTTTAATATATATAATAATTTTTGGGCTTAAATAAGTATTAAAATATTAAAATTTTATTTGAAATTATAAAACATGAAATTAGATGGTCGAAACTAGAAATTTAAATGGAATTTTGAATAATTTGGAGAAAATTTTCTTTTAAATTTGAATTTTTTATATTAATTAAGCAGAGAATGGATTAATAAAAAGAGTACACATGTTTATATTAGATTAGATTAGATATATTTGATAAATTAGATGGATGCCTTTTTCTTTTTTTTTATTGGCTTTAACTTTTAAGTATACAATATTTTCTCTTTCCAAGAAAAAAAAATCCAAAAAAATATGGTGTGAGCCTTATTTTGAGAGGGAAAATTGACTATATATGTAATTTATTTTCTTAGAAAATATGCCCGAAAGTTTATTTTGGACTAAATTACTCCCTCTTTTAATCAAGGGATACTTATTTAAAGTATGTCAACTATGATAGTAACTAGGATCTTAGTTTGAACCTTGTTCAAAATCATAGTTCAAACTTGATTTAAACCCACTTTAATATTGTTCAAATATGGTTTAATTTGAACATTGTTTGGTGATACTCGAAAATAGTTTGAAAACGATTTAGCGAAGGTTCAATTATATTCAAACAAGGTTCGAACATTGATTACTTTAAAGTAGATACAGCATATTATCATCATGATAGCTATAACACAATAGTAGAATTTTCAAGAATATTTTTATAAGAAGGCAAGCATAAGGCATATTTGCCCAATTATGTCTATTATGAGGCATATGAGCTCAAATTTACCTTTTTTAATGATTTTCTTCTCTTATGATAGATGATTGTCATTCTCTTATTTATTTATTAAATAGTTAAAATCAAATAAAAAATTGTTTTATATGTTTTTAGTAGTTGCAAGAAAGTTTTTTCAAATCAAGCTTTTTATAATTAAGGAGAACAAGCAATATTTAAAAGAATGCATAATATGTAAATAAGATTAGAGCAGATATTAGATTGATTGGATGTAACTTGCCCATTGTCATGGTTGCAGCTTTAAAATAGAAATAAAAAATATTCTCCTCCTATTAAAGTAATAAAAAAACTTAAAAATATTTGAAGGAGCTTATTTTGAAATGGAGCTCTATTTGTATTAGACTTTAAAAATGTTAGGTTCTATCTCATTAAGTTTTAACATAGTATGTATCTGTATACATTTGTTTAAATTCCACGAACATTTTTAAAAATAAGAGGTGTGTCAATAATGTGGTTTTAGTTTTGAGATATTTGGTGTATCTTGTGGGAAAAAAATAAGTTTTATAAAAGCCAAAAAACAGCTTTCGTCTAACAGCATTTTAGATTTCTTTTTTATGCTTTTATAAATTTTAGCATTTATATCTTTTAATTTATTGATTAGTTAGTTGATTTGATTGTAAATTGATTAAGATAGGGTAGTATGTTATATTATATGAAATTTCTGTTACTTTCATTTTGATCATTTTATTAATGCACATTGGTGCCATATTAGTTTGCAACCAAAGATGCACAAAATTCTTATAACACTTTGGACAATAAATTTAACGTGATTTTTACTGAATAACTATCTATTTTATTTGATAGCTCAATACACCTTCATATAGTACAACACAACACAGTAGAAAAAAAAAATCTTGAAGAGTCATAATTATGTTTCTTCGTGGCTCAATCCTGAATTGTTATTGGCTTGTAGCATTTGGTGTACATTGGGATTAATGAACATATCTTAGATGTTGAATTTATTCCTCAAAGCATCTCATATCAGGTCTTCTTCTGTGGAATTATGCAAAGCAAGGTGTATCTACTTGGTATTAAAGGATGAATAGGCAATCTTTGTATCCTTAGTTGCTCAAGTATTGGTTAGTTTGCTAGATTGAAGATTTGTTTAATTATCAACCTCCTTATTTTGAAGACGAATTATCTTGAAGTGAAATCTTAGGTACATTAAGGTTTTCTCTGAAGTAGCATATACTTGTACTAGCCAACCTGAAAATAGTTGGGGATATGACTAATGGTGATTATGATGTCATCTACATGAAATAGGTTCTTCTTCAGTGTTATCCTCAGCCTTGTTGCAATTATTGGGAAACAATACCTGAATCCTTATTTGCTATTAATTTCTATCAGTTCTCGAATGTTATACTTTTTATGGAAAACCTGTACTGATATTTTATTGCAACTATTGACTACATGCTAGCTTTATGCAGGAGCTTGGATGATGTTCGATTGAATTTGGAGGTTCTGAAACACTGCTCTGCAGTATTGTTCTTGGTAAGTAGTTGAGATTAGTGAGCATCATTCACTTCTTTATCATCTTTCTGTACACATTATTATTACTACCCTACGATTGCTCCTGCCACTTATATGGGAATGATGTTACAATGTTTACATTTTCTCTACCTTTTTTTCCCTTTCTTAATCATTCCTTCTTGATGGCTGAAGTCCACCTTTTTTTGATAGTGAGCCACTTCTATTGTATTATTCAATAGCATATGCCGCGTTACATATGCTGCTTCACTCTGGGGATTATGTTGGCAACAATGCAGTTCATAGCTAACTACTTCTATCCATGTTAAGAGTGGTCATTTACTTGATTTATTTTTGCATAGCAAGCTGATACTAAAGTGAAGCACTGCCATATGCCCATCTGTCGCCCACCACAGGAAAATAAGTAAAAAAGGACCAATCATCTTGAAATAATATAGTTTAACATTTTGTTTAGTTAATTAATAAATAATTCCATGTCCCTGAAGCTACAAATTTCATCATTAACATCATCATTATCATTAGCCTTATCCCAAATATGCGGGCCGGCTTTATAAATCCCTATTTTCCATTCATTCTGGCTTAGTGCTACTTGATATGTTAAGCATATTTTTCTCAATTTTAATATCTTCTATCTAATTACCTTATGGCTACCCTTATCCTTTCTAATCTAGTAATACTATTTTTATTTACTCATCTGATCAGTGTTTTTTCTAACTTTCATTGTAGATATCCAAACCATCTATACATCTATTTTCAATTACCTCATCCTTAATAGATGCCATCTATTGTTCCTCTAATATAATCATTTCTTAATTTTTCATTTATAGATTTGTCATGCATCCGTTTTGTCATTCTCATTTTTTTCACACTCAAATTGCATATTGACAACTTGTTTATTTCCCAAAAATGTCAAATATTGTTAGCATAATTGTTGTTTTATAAAGTTCACCTTTCAAGTCTCCTTGCTATCATCTTTTCACATAATACTTTCGAGATACTTTTCTATTTAACCACCAAAGCTAAATTTTCTAAATTATTTAAACCAATCACACCTAGATATTAAAATAGGTCATTTCTAAATTATTTAAACCAATCACACCTAGATATCAGGCTTCATTCCATTTTGTGGAAAGGTTGGCCTTAATTTTAGTTATTTAATAGTAATTTAGAAAGATGAAATTTCAATAAACACCCACAAGTTGCATTGTAGTCTTATAGCCAATAGAAGGAAGGTGAAGCGTAAGGGATGAGAAGTCATATGGTGGCATGGTGATCAACAAGTAACATGTTTTAAGGCGAGTGGTTGGTAAAAGACAATCACATAATAGTGACTTTATGTGATAGCATGTGATAAAACATAGTTGCGTTTCAATGGCTGGGTGAAGGAGCAGGCATAGGCTACCGTGATAGCATATTAGTGCAACAATACAATGAGTTGCTGTTGACTAAAAAAAAAAAGAAAATTTGAACAACTTCATGAAGCAACGCACCCGCCCTTGCATCCTACGCCCCGACCCCACTTCATGAAACGATGCAACTGCTTGCTCCTAACCGTTCCTTGTTGCCTCTATCCTAAGAAACAATTAATCTTATATATAACAGTTATTGAGGAGTCACTTGGGGTATTGTTAGCACAGAATAATAAAGATGATAAATAAAATGCCCTCTATTATATCAATCGACGATTAATGCGTTTGGAATCAAAAGTATTCACCAATCAAAAAGCAATGCTTAACATTAATCTCTGCCACACAAAACTATGACATTATATGCTCGTTCATAAAATAACTTTAATATTTAAAGTAGATCCATTAAAATTTCTAATGACTAAACCCACTCTCACGGGTTGTCTTGCTAGGTGGGCAGTATTGTTATTGCAATTCGATATAAATTATATGCCACAAAAAAATGGTGAAAGGACAGGCCTTAGATGACTTCCGAGCAACCCATCCTTTACCTACAGACTCTTCAATTAATGATGAGTTGCAAGATAAGCAAATACTCGCAGTGGAAGAAAAAATGCATCTGCATGAATGGGAGCTTTATTTTGGTGGAGCTTCATCCATAAAATCGGCTAAGCCACCTATTATTTCAATAGTTCAAGTTGGTATCTGTCTAATATTCATCACCCTGCAAGAAGACATACTCTGATACTCTTACAGCTTAACAAAATCTTGCACTAACAATGAAGCTAAATATGAAACTTTAATAGCTGATCTTGAGCTTGCAGTTAGTATGAAAATTCAGAAACTCTACATATAAGGAGATTCCAAACTCATAATCAAATAAATCATAGGTGCTTTTAAAATCAACAAATCAGAGTTAATCTCATATCACGTGTATGCTCTGCAACTCCTACAACAAAATTTTGAAGTAACTCTTACTAGAGTTACACGTGGTGAAAATGACAGGCTGATGCGCTCTAAAGAACCGACAAATCTTCAAGAGTATCTAATCATCATAACTATCCAAAATAGATATGCATTGGATCCAACCTTCATACAAGATAATGAAGGAAAAGAAGTATAAGAGAACCTGAATATATTTGATGAAAACGATTGGAGGGAGCCATTCGTTAGATACTTCAAGGAAGGTAATATTACTAGAGAAAGAAATCTATTACTTCACAAATATCAAAAAGGGCGCTAAAACATGCTTTCATAAATGATACATTATACTGTAGATCATTTGACCAAATATGGCTATAATGTTTGGGTCCTGAAGAATTCCAAAAAGTCATAACTGAAGTTCTTGAAGGATTGTATGGTGTATACCAATCCAGTAAAACTGACAAGAAAATGGAAGGGACTAAGGACTAAGAGAGAATCATGGTTGGCCTATTTGTCGTCATCATCAACATCATGTTCAATCTTATCTCAACTTTGTGTTAGATTTATGAATCCTTATTCTCTGCTCATTCATGCTAAAGTGTTGCATGAGACTTCAAAACTTATCCTCCGATGCTAGTTTTTTTTACATGTCTTATTAGTGCATCTTCTACCATTCATTGTACACCTAAATCTCTATTATGCTATCTAATAATAGATGTTTCTCACCCATCCTCTAATATAATTATGTAATTAGTTATATCAAACCCAAAAAAAATTGTATAACCTAATCCGACTCTTTATTCTTCTAAACTTAAGTCTCTTATCTTCTAAGTATTTTTTTTCTATTATTCCATCCTTCTATTTATGATAATATTATGGTTTAGTCTTCTTTTTATTTTGTTTTTGAGGTTGGGGGGTTGTTGATTAAGCATAGCTGCTAGATAAGGCAATGAGAAGATTTATGCAATAGGCATGGAACACATTTGTCCCGATAAACTTTAGAAATAAAATGAGTTTGAAATTACTCCAATACATAAATATGATTCGTTAGTTCTAGTGCTGTGTTTGCATTACGTTAAGTTAAATGCCACCCCGACCCTCACTTGTTAATTTTGAGATTAGTATTTCGGGGTTGGATTGCATGACATGATGAAATCCCTATTTTAAATTACTATATACTGAATTTATAGTTCTTACAGGAATCAAGTGTCGCAAATGTGCCTTCTATAACAAATTTGGCATCGAAAAGCATTGTTTCGGAAAACTGCAATATTCAGAATGACATTCCTGCGGGAACAAACCTAAAATTGTGCTCTCTACCTGTCGCTCTCAGCAGCCTGGAAGGTTCTTCTTGTGGGGTTAGAAATGTCAAAGATGTGTGCCATGATCTGGGCAAATATGGTACGACACTTGAAAATGAGGATGCAATTTATTTGATGGAACAGGTTGAAAAAATGAGAATAGAGTCTTCCCACCTAAATTCGGATGACCCTATAGGAGGAAATTCTGCACCGTGCTCAGCAGCAAACTCAGCTCATAAAACCTCCTATATTGACACCATCAAGAATTCAGGTTCTTATGCCGGATTTCTAGAGCCTGATGAGGTTTTGGTGAACTGCATTACCGTATCACATTCGACTCCTACTCCAACTGTCAAAAGGATTCAAATTCTTCACCAAAATGTGCCCTTGTGGCTTCGTTGTGGGGATTTAGTTATTCATTTTGGGATCAACACAAAATTTACCGACAATTCTGGGAGGCCAAAGTTGAGTATTTTAGTCAATGCTCCTCCAAGTCTTTGCCATGTTCTAGCGATCTGCGATTCTCTTGTTCAAAGCTCGTTAAGGAGTTATGGTAGCACCTCGGAATGGTGGCCTCTGATGAAAAAAAATGCCTTCACTAATTCTTCTTCTACTATCCGGTTGCAGTGAGTTTCCATTTCTTCTGATGTAGTCTTTTTTCAAGTGCTGCTTAGATAAATGAGAATGTCTGTCTACTTAGTATTAAGAAGGCTTATCACCCCCATCATGATAGCTGTTTAGCATAAACATGCTACCGTTAGCATGATTGCGGTTCCTGTAGAGTCATGACAAAGGTGACTTGTTATTTGTTTAGGGTTTAAGTTCTTTTTTCCTGATGTTTGATATAGTGAAAATGATTACGGTTCCTTTCTTTAAAATTCTGATTTTGTTTGGCTTGTACCTTTCGTGACTGAAGATTCTGACCGTCTTGTTGTTTGCTTTGCTGTGTAGCATACCGACCATAACAAATTGCGAGTCTGCTGCCATGTACTCCACCGAGATATACCGACTAGATGCATCGAAGAACATGAACAAACTTGCTTTCAGTAAATTTGATGCTGCTGAGCTTGATTTATTATTAGCTCCGGGGACAAATATTGATGCTTTTTTCTGTTTGGATGCATACGATTATCAGCAGAATGCAGGCATTAGGCTAGTAGCAAAATCTCTTCTGATCCATTCCAGGTAGTTAAGGGACATGTGACGTCCTCTCATAGTTGTTTTTTTTTCCCTTTTCTTTTAATTATTTGTAATTGACTATTGTTCGTTTAGCATTAAAATTGTTAATAAATCAGCTGGTTAAATTTCCTTATTCTATGTTGATTTAAGGAGCATTTTTTTTTATCACTAATTGCTTATTTCTATGTTGTGATTACGGAATCATATATTGAAAATAAGACTGACCGGAAATTTCACTCTGATTGTGATTTTGTTAATTCTGTGCATTGTGCAACCTCATAATTAATTATTCTTTCTTGTTGGGGGAGTAGTCAGTGGTTTTACTTTATAATAACATTTGACTTAAGCAAGATTTCATGAGTTTTGACCCAATATGTAATAAGAAACTATTTCTTCATGTAATTTTGCTCCAGCAAAATTACATTTGGTTTGCTCCTTCATGGAAATAAAGTGCCAGCTGATAGGATTTGAGTTTTGGATAGAAAATCATGAACTATGATAGTTCGCAATCAATATATAAATATATTAATAAAAGCAAGCATATTATTGATATATTTATACGATAAGTATCATGCAAAATACTTGCATATTTCTAAGCCTTGGTCAACTAATTTGATTATGCTCGAGTCCGAAAAAAGCCTCTAATACGAATGCTTTTTAGGATACCAAAATTGGTATTCTTATTTTTTATTTTTATCATTTAATTCTTTACTTTATTAAATGAATAAAATAATCATAACGTTCAATTATTTATAAATATTGATATATCATTTTATTCATTTAACTATTATTAACATAACAAACTAATCAAACTACTTTATTTTAACAAAAATAATTAAAGAATGCATTTAATATGATTTTTTTAATTTTAACATGATTGACTTAAAGAATGCATTTAATATTATTTAGGAAACAATGTGAATTAAAACAAGTCTTTTAGTTTACTTTGATCGAAGTTAAATCACCCATAATGGATGTAATTGATTAATTCTCCTATGCGAAGTTCCACAAAATATTTTTTTTGGGAAAATATTAATGTGAATGAAACCTTATAAAATAAATATTATTTATAGCACATCACAATCAAACAGAAACAAATCCATTAATAATTAACTCCATCGCAAAATCTACCTTAATTGAAATGTTCAACATAAAAGTACATAATATCATTTTTGCGATTAATTATGGCTGCACTAATAATTTTGACTAACGATTCACACATATAATTCAAGAATGGTAGACAATACTGTATTAACAAGGGTTTAGATTACTAGAATTGCACACCAACTATAACAAACATTTGAATGGTATATCAATAAATGTAGTTTATTTATTTCTGATATCCTAATAAAAATCCAAATATTTTTTTAACTGAATAGATAAACAAAGCAATTCCAATAATTAAAAAGGACTTCACAAAAGGCCTGCTGATTCATTGCAAATGAAATTCCATAAAATCATTTCTTATAATTTAAATATAATACATTTTAACCGTCTCATTCTGTTCTGAAATGAGTTAATAATAACTTATTCATTAACTATATTTAAACTTAAATAGGTGAAATTATTTTACATGTTACTACTTTTGCCAAACCAAACCACCACCAAAGTGATCATTATGTTTCATAAACTCAATTTCCATGAATCTCTTTCCTCTTGAATGTAAACACAGCTAGCTGCTTCAGATGATGTCCTGGTCTTCAAGGGACCGCTTCCGAGCCCTTAAATTTTGCTCGAGGCTTTTTGGAAGCGGCGGCGTCCTTCCTCGACGAAACAAAACAGCCAGAGCCCTCATTTTCTGGCAAATATCAAAGACCTGAGGACGCATTGTCGTGAACCATTACTAACAAATTTATCAATGAAATGCACCATTCAATCAGTTCAATTCCATACCGATGAAACTTCAAGCTCAGCGATACCCTCACACTTCTGAACTCCTTGTAGCAACTCACAATACCTGCTCGCTTCACTCTGATCTTCAAACACCTGGAATTAGCACAGCTTTAGGCATTCAAAACTAATCTACGTATCTACTCTTTAGGTACAAGCAAATGAGACGTTCTATTATCCTACAAAAAAAGTTGGCACTGTATTTTTTTCAATGGAAACATGGGTGAGATCCTTCAACATAATGCTAGAAGAAAAATCTTTAGCGTCCAATTGAGAGAAAACACATGAACACAATGTTCAACAATTGTATTATACATCATAGTAACATAATGGAAAAAAGAAGAAGAAAAAACTACTCCCAAAGAAAGTGTCATCCGAAGTGTTTTTTCCCTAGTAGCAGCTTCTCCCATAGGTAATTCAAGTGACAGTCATCATTGTCATCATTAACCTTATCCCAATGATTTGAAGCTTACTTCATAAATCCTCATTTTTTATTCATTAGGTGTTAGACATATTCTTAACAATTCATTTTGAAACTTATATATTAAAATTGACTCTACCCTTTCTCAATCCTAATTATCCAGCACTGAATTTATATACACATTTGTACCCTCTATTGTACATATTCAGACCACATTAGTCTATTTCAATTCTTATATTTAATATATGCCACCCTAACAATTCTCTTAATATAATCATTCCTCAAATTATCTTTTTTAATTTTGCCACACATTCATCATGATATATTCATTTTTGATACGATTAACTTAAATATCAATGACTTCTTTATTGCCCACCCTCATATCACCTAATTGTGCTTCTATAAAATTTAACTTCTATCTTCTCATCGCATAATGCTCTTGAGGTGCTTTCTCTATTTTAATCATTCAATATTAACTCTAATTATTATATTCTCATCTAGATCTCTTTCTTTCATACAAAAGTAAAAAAAAAAAAAGAACTAGTACACCTTAATATATTACCTTATCTTTTAATAATATTAATTGATAAGTATTAATATCACACCCACAAAAATTGTATATTATACACTCAATATTTGTTCTACTAATTCTATGTTTTCTATTTTCTAAACATATTTTTATTATTCTAATTTTTTTTATATATTAATGGATATCTCAAGAATATGAATTATATAATTTGTAAAAACATTTATAAAACTCATACAATAAAGTATTTCACTTTGAATATCCTTTGTAAGCATTATCATAAAAAATACAAAAAGACAAGCTAAATGTTGATCCTTACGCAAATCTATTATAATTAAAATCTCATGAGACACTTCATAACTTTTCTTTTTTTGGGACACATCATACTACTTACTAGTTAGTACTCAATTATGCATATCTTTAATAATGTCAATATATTATGTACACGAAATCAATTCTAGTGATACTTGCTATTATGTCTTTCCAAAATAAATAAAAAACATATGAACACTCTTTTGTGGCTCTATATACTTTATAATTAATTATTGCATTAAAATAAAAACATCTTCAATGGCACATTTTCTAATCATATGTTTCATTATAGTCTCTCATAGCTTCCTTATATGATTCATATATTCTTTGTTTTTAAATATTGATGCTATGCACTTCTTCTCCAATCATTTGACATTCTCTTAGTATTAAATTCCTTTTAAAGATGTACTAAACAAAGTTCGCAACACCTCCCATAATTATCCAAATTTCAATTATCTTATTTGAACCTAAAGAGTTACTTTTATACGTTTTCTTTTGAGCCAACTCCACTTCATCTTATTTTCTTTTGGTAATGGGTTGGGTTTGGGCGTGAAATTCTAACCTGATTATAAATACGGGTTGGGTTCGAGTCAACCCGAACTCAACCCGGAACTTCCTGGTCATCTGCACAGCAGTGCAACACAGCCCATGCTCGCATTGTGAGTCCCCCCCCCCACGCTCGCATTAGTGGTGCAAACTTGTTCGGTGCTCACACCTCAACCTTGCTCGGTGCCAACCCCCCGCTCTCACCGAGACCCTGACCCACTCTCGCACCGAAACTCGGCACCACGACCCAACCTGCGTTGGCATCGCGACCCAACCTGCGTTCACACAATGACCTTGGCCAACACTGGCACCGCGACCTCGCTTGCACTCGCCCCCGCGACCCCTCTGCGCTCAAGTTAGTGTGTTGGGTCAGGTTGACCTGGGTTTGGGGTGGGACAGATCAAGGTTTGGATTTCTGACTCGTTTCTAAAATCGGGCCGAATTCGGGTTGAGCCAATTAAAGTTGTGTCAGTTTCAGGTTGGATCCGAACTTGACCCGAAACCCAATTCGAGAAACTACAAGTACGATGTTGTGCACAATCCCCTAGATATCCTCCATTCATGGAATGAATCACACCATCATATCTGGAACGTCGAAATTACTAAGAAAGGACAACCATATCATCTAGATTCTCACATGAGAGAAATGACTAAAATTAACACTTGCACTAGAAATGAGGACTGTTTGATGTGTGCAGGTGATGAGAATCCACTGAGCTAATCGATGGGCATTTAAAACAAATATCTATTTATATTAAAATTTAAATTTTAATTAAAAATGAATTTAAATTTAGTTAAAATAATTAAAATTTTGAAATTTTAGGGTGCAATATACTATGTCCATTACAACAACAACAACAACAACATCAAGCCTTTATCCCACTACGTGGGGTCGGCTACATGAATCCTTTTTCTCCATTGTGTTCTATTAAAAGTCAAATTCTCATTTAAACCTAATAAAGAAAGGTCATTCCTAATATTTTCTAACCAAGTCTTTTTAGGTCTACCCCTACCTTTCTTAACATAAGTCAAATCTAATACCTCTACTCTCCTAACCGGGTCATCACAAGGCCGCCGTTTTATGTGACCAAACCATCTAAGACGACT